ATTGTATATGAATAGTTTTTCCATTTACACTGCTGTAGTTAGATAGTGTATGTTATTTTCTTAGCTCTGATTACTCCACCCTGCATCTGTTCATGAAAGTCTTTCTCGATGGGCATCTACTTTGTTTTCTAATTATTCGCTCTCCCAAAAAGGGTTCCTCTAAGTCTTTGGTGTATATGAGCACTTTCTTCTTATCAATAGCTTCCTTGGGTGTATAAGGTTAGAAAGGGAGTTTCTAGATGGTGCAACGGATAGAGTGCCTCAACCTGGGGTCAAGAAGATTCAGCTTCTTGAGTTCAAATCTGGCATCAGACCCTTATAAGCTGTGTGAACCTGGCAACCCAACAAAGTGAGTTCCTGGTAGAACTGTGACTTTTTAGTCACTTTATTTGCATAATTCTTTCATTTGTTAGAAAATCCTCTGCAAATATTCTGAGAACTGTTTGTTCATATTGTTTGATCACTTGCCACTATCCCTTTCTTAGGACTTTGTGTGTGAGCCTGCTTAACTTAAGTACAATTTTGTGAGTTAAGACTGTTATTACTCAATGTGAAACTGGAACTTGGCAGCTCCTGAGCACCACCCCTTCCATCTCAGACATACCCAGAGTGAAGCAATGAGGGTATATATTGGATGGCAATTAGAGAATTCCACTGCAGTTCCTGGCTCCTGCAGCATTTTTTAAAATAGCTTAGCCCCTCTTCTTTCGACTCGGAGATGTAGGCTCAGCAAACATCTGTGAGTGTCTCCCTCTTCCCAATCCAAACCAACAGAAAGACGTTGGAATGCACCAAGGTTATTGTTCACACTTGAATTTCCTACCCTAGGTTCTAAAAAAGTCTTCTACCACCAGGTTTTAAAGCAGAGAAAAGGACATTTGTACAATTAGTTAGCTGACTACTTTTTTTTATAAATAGTGTTTTATTTTTTCTAATTGCATGTAAAGATAGTTTTCAACATTCTTTTTTTTTTTAATAAGATTTTGAGTTCCAAATTCTTCTCCTTCCTTTCCCTCTCTCCTCCCCAAGATGGTAAACAATCTGATATAGGTTACACATATGCAATCACATTAAATGTATTTCCACATTAGTCTGACTACTTTTTTCTAAAATTATTTTCGATGATCAAACATTTATACTTCCAGGTCCCCTCCCTCTCCCCCTAAACAAACAAACAGACCCTTGTAACAAGTAAACATAGGTGGTAGCTGTATGGTGTGATGGATAAAGCAAATGCCTTGGAGTTTGGAAGACCTGAGTTAAAATGTGGCCTAAGATATTTACTTTCGGTGTGACACTGAGCAAGTCACTTAACCTCAATTTCCTCATTTATAAAATGGAATAAAAATAGCACCTACTTCCCAAGATCAAATGAAAAAGTATCTGTAAAGCATCTAACACATAGTAAGCACTTAATAAATTCTTGTCTTTTCCCCCACAAAACTTAATGTTTTCAAAGTGTTTTACATTTATTATCAAACATACATACATACATAGACACACAGCCCATGTTACAATCACTCCTCTGTCCCTGGAGATGGAGGTGGGATGTCTCTTTAGTTAAAGCCTTTCCATATCTCCCTTAGACCTTGAAGTTAGACTCAAACTAACTTTCCCTAGCAGAGGAGAGTCAGAGTTCCATGCCTTTGTTTCTGAAAGAGAGGAAGGAGGAATAGAGAAGAGGGAGGAAGAGAAAGGAGGAGGGGAGAAAGAGGAGGGAAGAAGAAAGGAAGAGAGAGAGATAGGAGCTGGGAGGGGGAAGGAGGAGGAAGGGGAGGAAGAGAGGACAGGGGGATAAGGAAGAGAGCAAAGGGGAGGGGGGAAGGGAGAGAGAGAAGAGGGAGGTAGAGAAGGATGAGGGAGGGAGAGGCAGAGAGAGAGAGAAGACGAGATGAGAAGAGAGAGAGGAAGAGAGGGAGAAAAAAGAAGAAAGAGGAGGGAAGAAGAAAGGGGGAGGAAGGGAAATGAAGAAAGACATAGGAGAGGGTGGAGGAAAGGGGAAGAACAGAGAGAGGGAGAGGACAGGACTGGCAAGAGGGAAGGGAAGTGAAGGGGATCCTTCTGTTATTGCATAGAGAGTGCTGTGCTGGGGGATTAGAACTTTAAGTTGATGGTAGCTCCATTTCGAGAATGAGTCTTGCTCAATAGTTCTTTGGGCATTTGAGGCTGGCTTCCAAAGCCTTATGTGGCTATACCAGCATTTAGCACAGTACCTGGCACATAGTAGGTGCTTAATAAATGCTAGTGTACTGAGTCTACCAAGACTAGCTATATGGTGGAATCACCACATAGATAATCCTTGTGAAGGACTGGAATACCTCAGTTGGGAAGGGAAGAGATAAGGGAACAAGCATTTATTAAGTGCTTGCTGTGTACCAGATACTGTGCTAAGGACTTTATAATTATTACCTCTTTTGATCCTCACAATAATCCTGGGAGGTAGGTTTTGTTATTATCCCCATTTTTCAGATGAGGAAACTTGAGTGTTGGATGGAAAAACTGAAGATCCCTGCTTCAATAGGGCAGGAGTCTCTGAATTTTAGATAGCAACACCCTTCCTTTTAAGGAGTTTTTAATCTCCTTTGCCAATTTTTCTTTTTTTACTATGAACTTAGCACTCATCTACAGACACAAACATTTCAATGCATGAAGAACAAGAAAGAGAATTGTACATGAAACTATCAACTTCTGTTACATCATTTGATTTTTAAAAAAAGATACATATATAAACTTTAATAGGATGGTAAGAAAATTGCTTTTTTTATGCCCACTTTAATATTCCTTTTGTTTTAGTCAATGTATTTTTTAAAATATTTCATAAAAGAACCCATATAAGTAATTTTAGCTTGTATTTTATTCAGGTAAAATTAAAAATCGATTATACATTTTATAACCACAGAAACTCATTTTAAACATATTGTAAAATAACGCAGACAGTACGTTAAAAATCTCTGTGATGACTTTACCGTCTTAGGATCGTGGATTTCATGCTGGAAGCAACTTTCTGGGTTATTTATAAAGTCCTCTCCTCTCATTTTTAAAAAAAAATCTTTTTCCTCTCATTTTTATAGTTAAGGAAATGGGGCTGGGGGACGATGTTGGGGGAGGGGCGGTGGCAGTAGGGGATCTCGGGGGGTGGGCATGAAGGGACTTCCCCAAGGTAGAGTGTAAAGTATGAATTCAAACCCTGGTCACTTGGACTTTGGATCTGGGACTTTCCCGCTGTACTACACTAGGTAGAGAGAACAAGGGTGGTAGACTCCCTGTCTGCCCTCCAATTTTTAAGCCTCTTTAGAGCATTAGATACATGGGACCAGGTCGCTCATGGGAATTCTGATGCCCTGGACCTGATATCTTCCTTTACCTTAGAGGTGGGCAAGTTGAGGGAAGGGACAATGGGAGGCATGGGAGGGCTAGGTTAGGGGCCTCGAGGAGGGTCTCAGGGAGCAGAGGCACTTGGGCATCTTGGAGAACCTCCAGAACACCTGCGTCTTCAGGGGACAGATAGGGCCTCTGGCCCCACCCACCATAGGGCAAGACTGGTTGTGGGCCCCATTCAGTATCAGTGTGATATCTTATGAGTATATGGCCCGTCTGACGAATCGGGGAGGAGATCGGTCCCCAAGTGGCACAGACAGCCACCAGTCCAGTCTCCTCCATTAGAATGTAGTGCCTGTTTTTGCCTTTCTTTGTATCCCCACACATAGTAGGCACTTAATAAATCGTTTACTTATTTGTAGCTTTGCGCCGCCGGCATGTCAAATAGTGCCTGACAATTCAAGTCAGCATGCTTTTACTCATCGAGAGCCTACTAGGTGCCACTAAGCATGCTTTGTTTATTGATTGACTGAGGGAGGATTGGCACCCTGCTGGTTACCAACAACAGCATTATTCACCCCTTCTACCCTGCCCCTCCACCCCACCCCCTCTTCCCAGTCCACACCAGCTGTAGTTAATTCTCTTCCTCCGTAGTTTCACTTTCGTTGACAGATTCGAATTTTCTTTTCATTGAAAAAACGGATACACTTAAGCTGGAATTGTTTCCCAAAAGACTCAATCATCTTGGCCAGTGCTTCCCGGTCTCCCTTCCTTCTCCCCCGTCTTCTCCCCCTCCCCCTCCCCCTTCCCCTCCCCCTATAGGGAATGCCTCCCAGGGTGTGGAAGACTAATCCTGAAAATCTGCCGAAGTTTTGTTGACTTTTCTTCCAGATGCTTCAGTCTTTAAACGAGGCCCCGATGGCCCTCATTTGTTGGGTCCATTGGACAAAAAGCTCATAGGATCATTAAGTAGGGACCCCAGACACCATCTAGTCCATCCTCCTCATCCTGCCGTGGAGGAAACTGAGGGTGGGGGAGGTTAAGTGATTTGCCAGGGATCACACAGCAGCTGGTAAGCAGCAGGATTTGAACCCAGCTCCGTGATTCTTCTTTTCATTCTTAGCAGACAGCAAGTCCCTACCCCTTTTGGCAGAAACCTGCCTACCCTCACTCCCCCAGCCCCAGAAGCCAGCCCGGGGCTTCCCCAGGGCTAGTGGCCTCTCCCTGCCCTACTTGAGCTCCCGTACTGTTCCGGGAAATGGAGCAGCCCCAGTTCCACTCTCTCACATATCTTTGGGCACTCCAATGTCATCTCCTAGGAGACAGGGACGCTGCCTGCTGGGGGAGCAGTAAATGTCTCTTCCCTCTCGGGCCTCCAGTCTCTGCCAACGGACCTCAGGGAACTCCACTCGCCACTGAGGCGCGCTGAAGGTAGGAAAAACTGGAGGTGATTGTGTTCTTTGCTTCCCTCACCCACTCTTAATCTCAACCAAAAGAAATGGCCAAGATTCTGGGCACTTTTCTTCCACCATCTGGCCCTATGGGAGGATGCCTTTGGAGTTGGTCTGTCCCAGTTCTAGAAGGAACAGGGAAGAGGGCCACAAGTACCTGCTCCCTTCTGCTCTGGTCTGTAGGGGCAGAGACTGGGCACTAGAATCTGCCACAGCCTTGGCTGGGACTGGTGCCTGGTGCCTGGCAGAGAGAGTGGGGCTGGGTGGGGACTATTCCCCAGAGCATACAGAGTTGTTCAATGCAATACACACTTATTAAGTGCCTACTGCACGCTGTTAAGCACTTTGAATACAAACAGGAAAGCAGTCCCAGCCCTCAAGGGGCTTGGATTCTAATGGAGGAAGCAGGGGTAACCTGGGGAGAGAGAAATACTTCACTGTACTAAATAAAGGCTTACAGAATCGTGGCTTTAGAGATGGAAGGGTCTTTATCAACCAGTTAAGTCCAACTCCCTCAAGTTCCAATTAAGGAACTGAGACCCAAGGAAGTTTAGCCATTGGCCCAAGTTTACACAGGGAGTAAACTTCCACGGGGAGGACCCTGGAACCCAGGCCCTGGGTCCTCTGAGCCCCGATTTGGTGCTTGTACCATGCTGCCTTTAAGGAATAGATTGAGTTCAACTATCTCTACTCCAAGAATCTTGGTTATAAGAAGCCAAAATCACAGGCTTTAGAGCTGGGATGGACCTTAGGGATTATTTCATTCAACTCCCTTTTATATGGAAGAGGAAGTTAAGACCCCAATATTAAGTGACTTGTCCATAGTCACCCAGCTAAGATGTGGCAGAGTCAAGATTCGAACTCAGGCCCTCCAACTGCAATTCTAGATCTCCTTCCATCCAAAGGTTCTCACATTGAACTCTTCCCTGGTGGTTTTCTTGAAGATAAAATCTGGAAGAAAAGGAGAGGATTTTGCCATGGTTGATGTCCACAGGCCCCAGTGAGCATGGTTCTGTATCTGGAGCCCCTGGATCTAGGATGATGAGATACCAGCAGGGTCAGGGAGAGGAGAGAAGTGTTTTGGGAGTGCTTCTTCCAGATTGGATTCCCTTTGCAGCTTCTCCCCTTCCTGTCAAAGGATGGGGGAAAAGTTACAGACAGACCCAAAGCAGACAGGAAGCTGCCCTTGTGAATAAGGGAGCTGCTCACTGTATGTTTCCAAGAGCTTGATCAATTTGTTTCAAGTACTTCTTTCTCGTGAGTCCAAGTCAATATCTAGTGGTTGTCCTGGAAAGATTCAATTCAATTTAACTGGTATTTTTTTTTCTGGAGGATCTCTAGTGACAGGGAGCTCACTACCTCCTGGGGCAACCCATTTCATTTTTGGATCCATCAGTCAAGCAAAGTATGTGCTATGGACCAGGCAGTGTGCTAGGTGCTGGGGGGACACAAAACCAGAAAGGAAAACCCCTACCCTTCAGGAAATTATAATAGATGGAGGAAGTGAGAGGGAGAAACAACATAAATGCAGTTAGGTAAATGCAAAATACGTGCAAAATAAGTTCATAGGGTGGGGGAGGGGGAGAGAGGAATCATTAACAATAGGGAACATCAGGACAGCTTTCTAATTTTTTGTGTTCAGTCATTTTCAGTCATGTCTGCCTCCTTGTGACCCCCTTTTTTGGGAGGGGAGTTTCTTGGCAAAGATACTGGAGTGGTTTGCCATTTCCTTCTCTAGTTCATTTTACAGATGAGGAAACTGAGGCAAACAGGGTTAAGTGACTTGCCCAGGGTTATCCAGCTAGGAAATGTCTGAGGCCAGATTTGAACTCAAGAAGATGAGTCTTCCAGACTCCAGGGCTGGCATTCCATCCACTCCATCACCTAGCTGAGCTACCAAGTAAGATTATCATTTATATAATACTTTAACATTTGAAAAGCACTTCATATTATCATATTTGATCCTTAGAACAGCCCTTGAGGTAAAAACTATTATTCCCATTTTACAGATGAGGAAACTGAGGGGAAGTGACAGGATATCATCACAGCAATGATAAGTGTCTGATGTAGGATTAGAATTTAGGTCTTCCTGAGTCCTGTCCCAATGTTCTATCCACTGTACCAGCTAGCTATCCTGAATAGTGTAGGGGAAATCAAAGAGCATTGGTAAGAAGGAGGAAAAGTATTCCACGGCATAGGAGGCAGACAGCTTGTGCCAACACTGATCAAAAGTGGAATGTTGTGTGAACAGAACTGGAATGGAGACTGCATGAGGGGTTGGGATATGAAGCTAGGTTGGAGGCAGATTGTTAATGGTTTTAAGTAGCAAATGAAAGGTGTCTTCTTTTATCCTAGAGGCAATAGGAGCCATTGAAACTTCTTGAGGGGGAGAGTGAGGTGGTCAGATCTTTGCCTTAGGAATGTTCCTTTGGTCACCATGGGGAGGATGGATTAGAGAGGGAAGGGGTCAGAGGTAGATGTTCTTTCATCCTACCCGTGATAGCAGCCTTGTTGGTCCTGGGCTAAATCCTGCCCTCTCCTCCCTGACATCTGTGCAGAAGCTTCTTATTTTGGTGACCTACCAGTTCGTGGATTACTTGGTTTTCAGACTATTATCTTAAAAATAAAGAATTTAGAGAATTTTTGTTTCTTTGGTTTTCTATCTACCAATATTTACTATACTCAAAATTAAGAAGGCTTAATGTTATCATGAAAATTGTGTTGAGTTTGAAGATCCTGTGAAAGGTCTTGGGGACCCCACCTTCTACCGCAGGGTCCCTGGATCACACTTTGAGAACCACTGCCCTGGAGACCACCGGCAGTCAGTTCATTGACCTCAGTGTTGGTTGGCCACTTGTATCTCTCTGCTTCCCCTCCAAAGCTTCCTGTCAAAAACCAACGAACGAATCAATAACAAATAAAAATAAATCCTATTTGTCATCCCCTCTGCCCCTTCCACCAATGCCTTGGTTTTGGGAGTTAAGTAGGCTGTGCAGGTCCAATGCAGACATATTGGAGGACTGAATGGGATGCCAAATGTGATGCCCACCCTTAGAGGAGTCAGTGTAGTTTCATGGAAAGGGTCCTGTACTGTCTGGAGACAGTGAGTTCTGGTTTTCTGATTTACTGCTGTGTGACCTTGGAAAAGTTACTTATACCCTGTCTAGGCCTGTTTCCCTATTTCTAACGGGATTCTGTTGGATTCAGTACCCTCAAGATCCCTTCTGCTTCTAATGATTATAGAAAGCACCCTTTTCCTTAGACAGAACAAGGGCAGAGTAAGGTTACTGGCCATACTGTTGGCAGGGCTATTTGCCCAACTCCAGGGAGAGGTAGCTAGGCTGAGGACACTGTGTCCTCAGGGTCCTTAGAGTTCCTAAAAACCTCTGGAAGGTTCAGGGGGAGATCCAGGAGTGGAGAAGATTAGGACCAGGTGAATCTATCCCATGCTTCCAAAAGTCTAGTCTTGCTTCTCACTATAAACCCTACAGTTAATGCTGATCACTTACACCTGGGATTTGAGATCATAACAAGAGCTGATGATTACATAGCTGTGTAAGGTTTACAGAACTTTAGCAACATTATCTCCTTGGATTTTCTCAAGAACCACCACTACCCAGTGAGGTCAGAATGAGGTTGGTTTTTTTTTTATCCTCATTTCACAGATGAGGAAACTGAGCTTTAGAAAGATTAAGTAATATGTCCAAATTTGGTCATACAACCAATAAGTCAGGCCTCTCTTCTGATTCAATGACTACCATTCTTTCTTTTAAAAAAATACTATTTTATTGATTTTTCATTTATTCATATCTTTTATATCTTATTTTTATTGATATAGTTTGCTCTTCCCTTTCTTTGTGAATAAATGCTTTGCATGTACTTAAGTATTTACTACATCTTACTCATTTATTAGTTCATATCTCATCTCATTTTATTAACATCTTGTTTTTACATTCCTTTCTGAATATATGCTTTGTATATAGTTCAGTCCTTAATAAATTTTCTCATTCATTCCTTAGTTCATATCTCATCTCATCTTGTTTTATTAACATCTTGTTTTTACATTCCTTTCTGAACATATGCTTTGCATATAAGATTTTTACTATTTTTATTTATTCATTCATGTCTTTTATATCTTTTCATTGATATCTTGTTTACCTTAATTTCTGAATATATGCTTTGCACATAGCAAATGCCTGATAATTTTTTTCATTCATCCATTCTTATCTGTTATATCTTATTTTTATTAATATCTCCAGTTTTTAACCTTCATTTCTTAATCTCTCTTTCTCCTGTCTGGCCAGTGTGTTTTCCCTTATTACAGAGATTAAAAAAGAAAAAGAAACCAACTGTATTTGTCTTTGAGCAAAGTCAATCAAATGCACCATTCATTTCTGACAATATATGCAATATTCCACACCCATAGTCTTTAGCTCTGCAAAGTAGGGAGAAAGATGTATTTTTTTCAACTCTTCTCAGGGGTCAAACTCTTTTTATAACACTGATCAACCAATTAACATATGTTAAGTCCCTACTATGTGCTAGTCATAGTGCTAAGCACTGGGGATAGAAAAGGAGTCAAAAGCCTTCATGGAACTTACAATCTAGTGGAGGAGAGACAATATGCGAAGAAATGAATCAGACAAACTGTATATCCCATAAATAGGAAACTCTATAGGTGCTAGAATTATGAGGTGTTGGGAATGACTTCCTGTAGCAGACAGTATTTTACTTGGAGCTTAAAGGAAGCCAGGGCCAGAAACTAGAGACCCAGGAAAATCAACCTTGTTTTTGAATTCTTGGACTTTGTTTGGACTTCAGAAAATGATCTGATTTAAAGGCTGGGCCAAGGCAAGCCAGCCCAGACCTCCTGCATCACCCTTTCGGCTTTCTGGGTCATCTGAGCGGAAGCTTTTCCAAGCTGCCGTGGGTAATAGATTAATCAGCACAGGGTAGATGAGGCAGATTTGTCCTCTCCCTGGGTGACGTGTCCAAGAGGGTTGCCAGTGAGATATGACCCAAGGAGTTGGTTCCTGGCCAAAGGTACAGACAGCACCTGCCCTTGGAGGTGGTCATGGTTGGAGAAGCAAGGTTCTGAGAAGGGTGTGGGGGATGATCAGGCATCAAGGAGGGGGACAGAAGAGGAAGAATAGCTTGTATCCTGAAAATGCCTTCCTCTTTTGGTAGGAAACATTCAGGAAGTGATGAATTCCTTCTCACTAAAGGCCTTCAAACAAAAGCTAGATGCCCACTTTCCAGGGATGCTGCAGAGGGATTTAGGGATAACTTGGACTCAGTGATCCTTGAGGTCCTTTCCTGCTCTGATATTCTGTGGGCACTCTTAACCAGATCTGACCTCACATAGGGGGAGAAAAAGGTCTACACCTGTGGTTTATTGGTCTGTGGAATTGCTTGATGGAGAAATCCCTCCCTTCCAATGCAGCTGGGCACCTTCTCTACAACTCAGAATCTTAGCTCAGAGATAGTACTTAAAACCAGGTTCTATCAGAGACACATTGGCTGGATTATTCATGTTGGTGTCCTGACATAGAGGAAACTTATCCACTGGAAGAGAGAGAGAGAGAGAGAGAGAGAGAGAGAGAGAGAGAGAGAGAGAGAAGGAGGGAGGGAGGGAGGGAGAGAGAGAGACAGAGAGAGAGAGACAGAGAGAGAGTGAGAGAGAGAGGGAGGGAGACAGGCAAACAGACAGACAAGAGAGGGGAGAGAGAGAAAGAGAGATGTAATTCTAAAATTTTGGGTCTCAACTCCCCTTTGCACTATCAAAAAATTTTGAGAACCCCCTCAAGAACTTTTGTTCTTGTGGGTTGCATCTATCAATAGTTACCATGTTAGAAACTTGTGTTTTACATATGTCTTTAGAATCACTGAGCAAACTAGTGGAGGTATTGGGGGTGGGGATGGGCAAGAGGAAGGAGAAATTATGCAACTATGTACCTATGAAGGAAGATGCTATCTGCATCTGGAGGAGAAACTGAAAAATAGAAGTATGTATAGTATGGTTTTACATACATACTATATACATACATATATATGTGTAAATATATATCTACACATACATGTTTGTGTCTAATGGTATCTGGGGAGAGGGAAGTAGTTTTATTATATATTTAAAAGGAAAAGTAAGTTGTATGTGATAGATCTACAGTTTCATGTGCAATCCTCTTTTTTTCTATCCTATTTTGTTGTGGAAATTTTGGTTTTATTTCTTAAGTTCAGAATGAAAAAAAAGAGAGACTGTGTACCTTCTGGTCAAGGTTTGAAATGCTCTAGTGTAATTTTGAGGGGAAAAGAAGGGAGAAGCAGATTGAGGGCATCAATCTACCTTTATCTGTCTTCCACAGGGTTTACCACAATGCTTTGACTCAAAGCCCTCTAGGTCCCCACGTGCAGCCCTTTGATTAAATCCGAACTTCACAGAGCAAATCCCCTTAATAAAAGGATTTGTTCTGTAAAACTTAGACTCAGTCAAAGGCCCCACCCGAGGACCTAGAAGGCCACATGTGGCCTTGAAGCTGCAGGTTCCCCACCCCTGGCTTATACCATATGAGGCCTGGTTGAAGGAGTTAACCACCAGAAGAGAAGAGTCAGAGGGGACATGCCAGCTGTGTTTAGGTATTTAAAGGGCAGTCATTTGGAAGAGGCATTAGCCTTGTTCTGTTGGACCCTGGGGAGCAGGACCAGGAGCAGGGTGGTAAGTTGGAGACAGGTAAATTTGGTCTAGATGTCAGGAAAAGCCTCCCAACAACTGGAGCTATTGAAAAGTGGAATGGGCTGCTTGAGGAGCGATTTCTCCATCACTGGAGGTCTTTACATGGAGGCTAAAGGACCATTTGTTGGATGTGATCTGCGTTGGCCCACGTGGCCTCCAAGGACCCTTCTGATGCTGGTATCAGAAGCTAATATCCCCATAGGGATCGGGGAGGGGAGATCAGAAATGGTGGCAAAGACACAAAGAAATGGGGAGAGGGCTAGGATGGTGGTGATCTTGTTAACCCAGCGCTTGCGTTTCTAGGGTATCCAGTCCATTTCAGTGAACTCACCTGGAAAGGAAGGCTGGTGCGGTAGAATGTTCCATTTGAAGTCTGTCACCAAATCACTTCACCTTTAGAGCCTCAGTTTCTTTCTCTGTAAAACAGTGATTGAGCTTAGATAGCCTCGGAAGTCTCCTTTAGTTTAAAGCCATTGAGCCCACTTGTGACTCACTTTACCTGACTAAAGTTGTCTTCATAGATTTTCTTTGGGTGTCTGGAAATACCTGCTCTCTGTACAAGGATATGAATACCTTCCATAAAGGGTGAGTGAACATTGTTCTGTATTAATGGACTGCTGATTCTTTGGACCCTCACTCATAACAACCCCTTTAACGATGACCTTTTCAGAACATTGTATTCTCCTTAATATGGCAGTTGTTTTTTAAGATCCTATGTTGTACTGTTGGTTGAGCTTGTGGTCTTCTGGAGCCCCCAGATCTTTTTATATAGATCCTGTTATCCTGAACTTTTATATACCGAAGTGTTCCAGACAAAGAAGAGACATTCAGAAAGAAGAGAAACAGAGGGAGCAGATAGAAAAGTGACTGGGAACAGAGAGAAGAGCTTGAGATAGGAAAAAGTAAAGAGGAAAGAAACGGCAAAAGAAGAAAGACATACAGAGAGATTGAGAGGAAGAGAGGGAGAGAAAATCCTGACAAATAATGGTTTTTGGCTCCCTGGTATCCCTTTTTCTGAGGGCTGGTTGAGTCTCTTCTCTGGGCTTCAATCTACTTATCTGTAAAATAGCTAGCTAGATGGATGGATAGATCA